TCCCCCGACCAGCCGCCCCTCCCCCCGTGGCTCAGCTCCTGGGAAACTGCCATGGAACGGTGAAGGGGGGGGGCTGGGGGTGAAGGGGGGATTCTAGGGAAGGGAGCCGAACAAAGGGGGGAAGCTTTGCAGGGGGCAGGGAATCGTTTCCTACCTAAGGCCAGATTGGCATCGCTCTGGGCCTACAACAGAAATCAGCTTCCGGCGCCCCTGGCTACCTCTGCTGCAGCCAGGAGCTTGATCCGCTTCGCTTCTCCCTGGGGCTGTTTCCCTCCTTCCCTGTGAGTTGGGGATTGGGAGGGGACAAATTCGCTCTCCCATCTCCTCCCGTCCCAAGCCATGGTAAGGAGAAGCTCAAAAGATCCCCCCCCCCACACACACACACACACACAGCCACCCACCTACCTACCTACACGCGCACTCATCGAAAGCTGCCCCCTCCCCCAGTGGTTAAGCTCACCTGTTTTGGGGGGATTCCTCTTCACTTTCATCCAGTCGAAGGTTTGCGCGAGGCTGGTGGGGGGGCAGGGCTCGGGCAAGCAGGGGTGACTTCTGTCCTGGCTCCAAGCCGAGGAAAGTTGCCCGTAAGGTCCCTGCACGTAGTCCTGCTGCTCCTGGCCATAGGGGTGGGGTGGACACAGACCAGCCCCGGGCAGGGCGGCGCAGTAACTGTCTGCTCCAGAGCTGAGGTTGGATCCAGTCGGGGCCGAGCAGCCCGGGGAGGGGAAATACAGGCCCTCCGTATCCTGCTGGCCGAGGTAGAGCTGGTGATGCCCGTAGCTGGGGTTGCAGGCTTGGGGTGGGTACCCGGCCTGGGCAGCGCCCGAGAAAGGGAGGCCGAGCCCCGCAGGGTGTGGCTGGGGATAGCTTGGGTTCTGCTGGGCAGCATGGCTGGGCAGGGGCGCGCTCGCTGCCACTACAAAGCGTCCGTCTCCATTCAGACTGTCACTGGTGGGGAAAGCAGGAAAAGAGGTGGCCCCTGGCTCTGAAGGATGGTAGCCCTTGGGCGAGTAGGCGCTGGTCCCCCGGTTACAAATTGCATACTCTAAGAAGGAGTTCATCCTCGTATTGTCCATCTGCCACTGATGGAGGAGGGTCAACCTGGTTTGGGGGGATTTCGCCTGCCCTACAACCTTTAGGCAGTATGTCAAAGCTGTAAAACTTCCCCCCGTCCATCGCTAGCCCTAAAAAGGTGGGGGGGCAGCCAGGAGGGGGAGGGTGGGACCACGTGGTTGGCCACGAATCCAATGAGCAAAGACCTCCTGAAGTTTGTCAGATATCTGCGCTCATCCATCAAGCCCCTGACATTTGCATGACAAAGGAACTTCAATCAAACCCTGCCCATCAATCTGATAACAACACGGATATGTCAAAATCTTTCCTCAAAGACTTTAAAAGAGAGAAGGGAATGGGGGGGGGGGGGTGGAGGAGAGTTAGAATTATTCAAGGCTGTTTTAAGTGTGAAAAGGCCCCCAAGTTATAAGATGTAACCAACTTCATCCGAACTTTCCCCCCCAGATAAAAAGGTTTTCCCCAAACCCAGTTCAATCTGAAAGAGACCGAGAAAGAGGCTCGTGACTTTTTCAACTCTAAATCTGTTTTTTGCCCTTCATTTTTCAACTTTCCTCTGCAAAGTGGCATGAACCTGTTTGGAGTTGGCTGGGATGAAAAGGCTAAAAGACCCCACCCCTCTGTATTTTAATCTCGTTTTGTGTCTAGAACCGGTGCGGGCAACTGCTTTTAATTCAATCAATATTCTAATGAGCGGATGAAATAAAGTTAGAAGGACAGAATATCTTTTGTTGGAGAAACACCACAGTGCCCAGCAAACCAAAGAATGGAACTGAAAAATGTCTCCCTATCTAGACATAGAAAAGGAGATGTTTCTTTTTACAGCGTTCAACAAACGCCAGAAGTTTAAGCGGATTTTTTTTTTCAGTTACAAACGTAATTTGGCCGGTGTCTGGTTCATTTATTACATGAAGGTTTCTTGTGGCACCATCCAACTTGCGGGGAGGTACAAGGCGAAAGGAACTGAAGTCAGACTTACCACTCCACTGTTCATAGAAAGGAAACATTGGTAGACCACATTTATTTACTTGTTAGCACATGGGAGACAAGAGCATCTAACAATATGACGCCCACAGTCATTAGTTACTTGTCAGGATATTTACTGGTTACTAAGCCCTTAGGAGAAGCTGCAGGTTTTAGGCCAATAGTTCACTTTAAGACACATAGACAAGCTTTCTACTCCAGAGGTTTAGCTGATGCAACACTTTTAGTAACAGCGACACTTTTGTTAAGAAACAGGGCTGGTTGTGACCAGACCGGGTCTCTTTTCCTCTAAGCCTTCAAAGAGAAATTGAGTGTTTTAGCCAGTGACATTTCTCCTGAATCACTAAGGGGCATAGGGAAACTTCCTACATTCCCTCATTTCGGTTCGTGAAGGCCATTCATATGCGGGCGTTAGTGAAGTGGTGATGTTTAATCTGTAAGTTACACGTGTTCTGTGGTCCTTAGAACATCCTACTTTTGAATAACACGTCAGCAAACTAATTGTCAATACCCCAAAGAAGGAACACGTGGTTCTCGTAAATGAAATGCATTTTTAGCTTTAAGTCCAGGCGTGGTTTTCTCGATTATGTTGCAAGTTTTTGGAGGGGTGGGGCGGTGAGTCAGGAGGGGAAATGAGTTTATTGTTTTTAAATGATACTGAAAATCGATTACGCCTGTGGTTTTTTGTTTGTTTGTTTGTTTGGTAAATAATCGATGTACTCCATCGCTGAACCGGTTGTACGGAATTGCTCTGATCATTTTCAACTGTCTCATGCCGGCGCGAAACCAGGGTATGTTTTATTTCCTTTACCCTATGAAAAGACTCTGGAGTTTTCAGTCTTGCCTCGCTGTTGCAGCCACGTGTGTGGAGGGGATGGGAGACAGATTGTAGCTGGTATCCCCCTCCTATGAAACATCCCCGAGTGAAAACCCAAACCAACCACACTTGGGATCTCCGAGATGGCTTGGTGGGAGAAGATATTGGCATGGGTTCCTTAGCGCGGTGTCTAGTAGAAAACTTCCGGGCCTGGGCCCAAAAGAGAGAGAAATCCACCCAAACTCTTGCCAAAGGGGTTGGAAACAGGGTGGCTTGGAATGGGAGACGGAGCCATTTTGGAAAGGGGCTTTTCTTCCAGCCTTTATTCCCCAAGCAAGCCGAAGAAGGTGAGCTGTGTGTGAGGGGGGAAGGGGAATTTTCTTGGAAGACAAAGGGGACGCCGCATCCTCCTTTCTCCCCCACTCCGCGGCCGCTCGCCATCTGCCGCGGTCTGTCACCCTCCGCACCCGCAGCCCCATACCGAGGGAGCACGTCGCTTTCTTCCTCCCTCCGCTTTGGAGCCCAGGTGCCAAGTAGTCACCGCGCCCCGGCTCGACGGCTGGGAGGGGGGGATCAAAGGCGCTTGGGTTAAAAGATCCCTCGCGTCGGCTGCTCTGTGGGTTGCCATAGGGAGCAAGTTCTCGGTCCTGTCGCTCCACTTTCGTGGCAGCCCCACCCCCTCCTCCCCCACTTCAAGCCCAACGACTCGCGAAAGAAGGTGCCAGGCAGCCCCACAAACGGCAGCCCGACTCCCAATCCAGGGAAACCGCCCCCCCCCCCAGGCAGGTCTAACGGGGGCGTTTGCAAATCGTCGGGGCGCCCCTCGATCTGGTTCCTTTGGCTCCTCGCGCGAGTTAGGACGGGGACTTGTTGGTGGACTGGGCTTTTTTACGGTTTTATTCCTCTCCCCCCCCCATGTCCTTCAGAGGGGGAGACGGTCCATCCTGGGGAACCACAAAACCGATCTCTGGGGCTGGCAGTGCTGGTAGGGAAGGGCGGCTACAGGTCTCTGCTCCCCTCCTCCACACACACACACACACACACACACACACACACACCTTTTCCTTCTCCCAGCTACAGAATTAGTCATCGCTCTCCCATGCTATGTATTGCTTCATCTTCGCGTGCGCTGCAAGTTCTAGCCCCTAAAGCCCCACGCAGCTTGAGATTCAAACAAACCCAAATAGGTGGGACATTTTGAGGGGAGGGGGGTCTTAATTATTATGCTCCGGGGCTGGAGGAGGCGGGAGAGACTCTAAACTGAGCAGGAAACTTGCACGTCGGTTGTTCGTGCAGTGACATGAAGGAGTCTGTGAACCGCCTTTCCCCTGTTGTAAATCCCTTTTTGTTCCGCCCCTTTTAAGCATTTCCTATTCCATAAGAGGGGCTTTGTTTGTTTGTTTGTTTCCTGGGCTGAATTTTGGACTCCTAATGTATCAATCCGGGCCTGCGGGTCTCTTATTTCCCCAGGACTAGTCAGTAATCCTCAAACCAGGTTTTCTTTGAGGAGGCAGGTGGTCGGGGTTGCCCAATGGCCCATCCCCAGCAGTGACGGATGCAGGATTCTTCCCTAACGGATGCACGCGCATTCTTCCGCGTGCGCGCAGAAACAGGCAGGCGCGTTCTCACCGCAGCGAACGGTTCATCTGTGACTCTTCTTTGGATTGGTTTCCCTTGTAAACAACCCCAGCAGCTGCACTGGCAGGGTGTAGAAAAGAAATCCAGCCAGTTATCCATAGGTCATCCCCATCATTTTCTAGCCTTTATGGAAGGTCTTCCAAGAAACCTTTTCTAACTGTAGATCCCCTCCCAGCCCCACCACACAGAGAGATAGGGGGTCCCATGAAACCAACGGCTGAATGTTGGTCTTAAAAGGGAAAGTTTTGCTCCCTTTAATAAGAGATGGTGTCTTTTTAAACGGTTTGGTTGACATCTTTGAAGAAAGAAAGAAAGAAAGAAAGAAAGAAAGAAAGAGTTAGTTACTTTTAGTTTTTGTGGCAAGATGTTAACGGAAATAGCCCTGGTCTTTTAAAAGTCTCCATTTGAATGCGGGTCTGCCATCGAAAGTTAAACATTTCCAAGGTTTCAGGGCACTTCGGAGACTCTACTTTGAAGCTCAATATTAGGGTTAGCAGAGAAAGTTTGTTCCCCGCCCCGCCCCCAGGAAGTGTCCCGTTGGGCTTCTCCCTTATTTGATTTATAGGGCACAGTGCCGGTGATTGTGGGGCTTTCAGACATCGCTACAAAAATATTTTATTTGGCTATTTTATAATTTTGGGTATTTGGTGGTGGGGGTGAGGTCGGGAGGGGGTTACATCACCTCCTTTGGTTGTGATATTTGAGTCCAACAAGGAAAGAGGAAAAACACTCAAGAGCCTGTTATCCAAGAAAATGTTGGAGGAAATCTTTGAGCTCTGCTTTTCATAGGTCCCCATAGGAGAAGGAGCCATTGTGGGGTTTAGTCTGACTTCTTCATTTCGGTCATAGCTCTCCTCCGAAGTCATTCGGGTTTGAGCTAGAAGTTTAAAAAAAAAAATCTGATCTTGATACACAAATTGTCAGTGATGGAGAATCAGACAAAACCGACAGTGGCTAATGACCCTCCCCCTGAAATCGTCTGCCATAGCGTTACTTGCAACCTGCAAGTGAAGAGTAAAATACAGTTTAATTCCTACCTGTTGTGCTCAATAAACACAAGTAGGTTTAGGGTATTCATTCAGACCAGAGCGTTTCCAGACACACCGTGTCTCGGGGTAGATGCATACAGAGTTGCATAAATTATTTCGAACTGATTTCCTAGTGCAGACATTTCGGGAGTTATTATGCCGGAAATTATTATTTCCACATAATATCTCGCGAAATAAGCTATTTTGGAACAATAACTCCGGGAATATCTTATTTTGCATGTCTGGAAATCAGTTCGAAATAATTTATTTAATGCGTATTATTTCGAAATAATGTCCCAGTTAGGTGGCTGGAGCTTCGCCTGTTTTCACCAGCAGATAATTTGGCCCTAGGAACCCGAAGTGAGGCACATAAATCCATGCTCAGGTACCTACATAGAAATGGCCTGATTTTCAAAGATGCTGAACAGGGGCAAGTGGACAGGCGCTACAGGCGCTCCACATTCCTGAGGGCGAGGGGCAGAAACCTTTTTCATTCAGCTGCCGCTCAGGATCCGAGGAAGATCTGAGTCAGGACTTTGGTCCTGTTCTTGGCGACTACATTGCGGTGAGCCTGGATGCTGAAAATCCGCGCACTTGTATGCTGCCAGAAATGAGGTTTACACTGCACCAGGGCTGAGTCAGAGGCCTTTAAAACTTTCCAGCTGGGTGAAAGTTCAGAACCAAAGGGGGAAGACCGGTGTCTGTGTTAATGGTTAATGTGGCGATGTAATCAGAATGGGATACTCAAGTGAGTCAGGCAACCCGCATACGGAGAACTGCACTGGGAGTTTTATTCTCTCCTCCGCCACTGATGTTTCCTATGGCCTTTGGAGCGTCTCTTCCTCTCTTCGTCCCTCTGTTTCCCCCACCACCTTTGTCTAGTGAATTTAGGCGCTCTTGGAGGCAGGAGCATATGGGCACCTCCCTGTGTGTTGGTGCCCTGCCCAGTACCATGGAAATACTAGAATCGTCATCATAATGAATTGTGCAACCCTTCTCAGCCAATGAATTGGCCCCTTGGGTTGGACCTCTCCGGGACTGTTCCCCAATATGAATAAGGGTCGCCCACTTTGTTTGTGACTTTCACCCTCCCTATTGGATTCAATGCCATCTACACTAGTCTTGCAGGACAGGTCCCTGTGTGTTTGTTCGTCTTGAAAGCAGCCCTGTAATCAGGATATTTCCTTTGGACCCACGCAGACAGATTCAAGGGGTGTTGCCTGCCTCCTCCCATCATTACTCCAGAGCGTTCCGCTCAGGCGCCACTTCACTTCATCCCTTGTCACGTTTGCATGGGCTGGTAGTCAAGTGCCAAGGCGAGGGAGAAGCAAGAGATCGTGCCAAGGGACTGCATGGCTATGAACTGCCAGGCGCGCACGGGGCTCGAACGCTGGGCCTTGGGGACAGCCCCGGATGGCTTATTCCTGCGAGGCGCAGTGGAGAGGAAGAAATGGGGGTGCTACATCTTATGCGTCCGGGGCTGCAAGCAGATGGAGGTGGAAGCGTTTCTTCCTCAGCTCAGAGTGAGGGAAGATGGAACAGTATCCAGGTTTGGAGATTGGTTCTAGCCCCTTAGATGCCTAAGAACCTAAGGCCAGACTGGGACAAACCAAAGGTCCATCCAGCCCACTGTCCTGTCTGCCCACCGTGGCCAATGCCAAGTGCCCCAGAGGGAGTGAACAGAACAGGGAATCAATCATCCAGTGATCCCTCCTCTGTCACCCATTCCCAGCTTCTGACAAACAGAGGCTTGGGACATCATCCCTGCCCTTCCTGGCTAATAGCCATTGATGGACCAATCCTCCATGGATTTATCTAGCTCTTTTTTTAACCCTGGCCTTCACAACATCCTCTGGCAAGGAGTTCCACAGGTTGACTGAGCGCTGCCTGAAGAAATGCTTCCTTTGGTTTGTTTTAAACCTGCTGCCTATTAGCTACTGTAGTGATGGGGGTGGAATGGAACAGCATCTTAGTGGAATTGGTCCTGCCTAGAGCAGGGGGCTGGACTTGATGACCTTCTGAGGTCTCTTCCAGTTCTATGATTCTATGAGCATCGATGGGGTAGAGTGGTGCAGCTAACTATGGATATTTGAACGCAGACCTCAGGCAAACCTAATAAGCTGATAGACGTGATTAGGCTCCCGAGAAATTTTCTCGGCTTTGTTCCGAATCTGGTATCCACATCTCATTGGAAGTTTGGGGTAACGTCCCCAAGATCAGCTCATGGGTGCGCAGTTCAGTTTATTTCCAGGGGCTTTTTCCCCTGGCTCTCCCCATGACCACAATCCTCAACTTCTTGGAGGCCTCACGGCGCTCGTTAGCCACCAGGGGCCCGGACTAGATCAGCGCACCATAAATAGGACTCGAGTCTCTTTCCAGCACGTGGGAGCGCGTCCCGTTGACGTATTTGTTGGCTAATAATCGCCACCCAAGTGGCCGCGTTTGGACAAGGAGCGGGGCAGAGTTTGCTTCCCAGACGCCCTCTCTTTGCAGAAAACAGACGGGTGAGGGTTCCCCCCAAAAGCCCCCAGTCTCAATGTGTTTGACATTTGGAAGCAGGGAAAGAATGGCTGAAATAATGATGCAGTCCTACAGTCATTCAATAACTTAGATTTTATTGAATATTCCCCCTTCTTCCCTCCGACATTTCAGTCTTGCTAATTAGGACAAATAAGAAGGGTGGCTGCCAGCGAGGATAATAACTGGTGAGGGCCCATTTATTAAGTCACTTTCCGCGGGTGTGGAATTGATTTGTGATTGTGACTGGCATGTTTTCCAGACCCGCAGCAACTTCGAGAAGTCATTATGATCTGCAGAAGGGCCATTGTTAGAGATTTGTATTGATAAGGTGTCAGGATTTACATGGGCGAAGCTGGAGGACTCCCTTCGGTCCGCCTCCGCTCCGCATCAAGTCTTCCTGGTCTCTATCGGAAAGCACAGCCCGGCTCACCAACCCGGAGTCCTGGGGAGAGACGGACTCCCCCTCGAGATGATAGTCCCCTTCTTCTGCCGTCCTCCCAGAGGGAGAGGTGGGGTGGGAAACAGCTGAAGAACCAGGTGGCTTGGAGATTGCACTGTTGCGTGAGAAGTAACCTTCTTCGCAGAGACTGTGTGTGTGTGTGTGTGTGTGTGTGTGTTTGCCTGCGCAAAATGCTTTGGGGTATTTTTTTTAAACAGGGATAGTTCCTCTCTACAATGCATCCATGTTGACTGGCGAAGTACGCTCATCAGAGATTGATCAGGTCCATAACCATCCCATTCCTTATTATTCCCGGGGGGGGGGGGGGTGAGAAGGGGAGAGAGAACATGGGAGACACTGGAACAAATGGCCCTTTGATAAACAACCTCTGGCAGTGCCAGCTCTGTACTTGAGTGTGTTCCAGAGGCTCCAGATATTAAATAAACTTAAAGATAATGAATAGCTTTCTGTGGGACTTTGCCAGCGCGTGTTTTGCCAGGACTTCAGGACTTTAGCGGGCAAGAGCGGGCCTGGGACAGAGCTGACGCCTCCAATTTAGGCTCCTGGGTTGAATCGTAGGGTCCGTGTTTTCATCTAGATGCGTTTGTTGAGTCAGACCGAATGGATTATCCGACTGGCAACGCATTTCCATTTTCCCAACACGCATATTTCCGACTCCCGCAGTAACTCGCTGGCAGCTTTTTCGTTTTAAAATCGATCTGAGCATTTGGTTCGGGGAGGAGAGCGAAATACTCGCCTTTAAAAAAAAACCCAAACCACATCGGGAAACAGAATGCCTTGCGGGAGAGGCCAGGAATGTCTCGGCGTTTCCAACCGCAATTTCAAACCAGTGGTCTTTTGTTTTCAGGTTGGTTGGATTTGAAGTTCTGAAGCGCCCCCGCTATCCCCCAAAAAGGAACCGGAGAGGACAATAATATTTCTCTCTCCCGTTTCCTGAGATGGGAAAGCAAGATGGAAAAGGAAGGCGAGGCAAAAAATCTTACATCTTCCTTGAAAGGAGCCGAGGACCCCGATGGAATGGAATGTTCTTTGTTGTACCGTTGTGAGCCGGTGTGTGTGTGTGTGTGTGTGTGTGTGTGTGTGTGTGTGTGTGTGTGTGAAAAATCCATCCTCCCCTATAATACAAGAAGGGATTTATTTACCTCCTAAACTCCCACCCTCTCTTAGCCCCTAAGACATCGCTCAGTATAAATATAGCTTCTGTCATGGCTGCCTTTTTTCCGTGCCTGGCCACAGATTCCTGCGCCATTTTAAGCAGCCAAGGAAAGAAAGAAGTGCCCCTTGTATTCCCCCTCCCACGTTTTCACCTCCCCTCCTCCCCCCAGGCCTCTTGGGTTTCAATGCTACTTTCACACAAACTCGACTTGAACGCCTACCAAATTTCTGCCGTGTCTGGGGAAACACCAGTGACTTAGCAAAGACGTAATATGATTTATTTTTTGTGTCACCGCGATTGATTCCTCCGCTGACCCCTTTTCATTCATAACAAGCCCCCACCCACCTCTGATATATGAGTTTTGTGCTTAAAATTACATGCTGGAAGCGAGCTGTCCTGGAAGGACGCGCGAGCTGGAGCAGAGCAGCAAACATTGCTGTCGAAAATCACCACCGATGTATCAGTCCTGTTGTGGTCTGCGTTGTGCTCCCCCATCCCCCGCTTAATCCCCCACTTTACATGCAACGTCTCCCCCTTCTTTCCTTTACACCCGTTCACTGCTGGCTAAAAAGGCTGGGAGTCAGATGCGCCCATGGGGCATTTATTGAATCTAGACACAATATTTATCCTCTCTCCACTCCCTGGTGCAGCATTTTTATTTTATTTTATTTTATTTTATTTTATTTTATTTTTCTTCGAGTAATAAGAAATGAAGAACTGGAAAAATCAAAAAGCTGCCTTTTGTCTTTCTGGCTTGTCACTGGGGTGCTGCTAACACTCACTGGAGACGGGAAATATTTTATAGCAAACTTCTAAACAGCAAACGGTTCTCACCAGAGTGCGTCGAACGTGCATGTTCTCACGGTGAAGGTGTTTTTGAAAGCGCCGAGATTTTAAACTTTGGGATCTTTGAATTTATAGTTGGCTTCAATCGGATTTCATTGCACAAGATTTTTTCTAGAAGAGTAGGAATGTGGTTTTTTTTTAACGAATAGCATTCATTTTTAACCCCGAAGCAAATGCTTTGTTTTTTATTATTTAAATAAAACCAGCGAAGGGAAATGGAACCAAAAAAAGTTTAATAAATACAGAATTCCTGACTGAGAATCTGCTTTCTAAGAAAAAAATATTATGCATAAGCTCACGTTTCATCTTCCAGTTTACACAGGAGAATACAAAGCACCAGTTTCTAGTTGCAGAAAAACCACACCATCGTTTTAACTTGCAGGAGGAGGTGAACAAATGTTCTTCAAGTCGAGAAGAAAACGTGTCACACATTTTTTTTTAATTTTATAAAGACATTTATTGAATCTATGAAAATAATGTACAATAAATAATTTGCCATTTACTATTAAAGGATTTGAATAAATAGTCTACATCTAAAACTTAAAAAAGAGGAAGCAAAATTCCTCCGGGTTCTTTTTATTAATTATTATTTATTTTTCTTAAGAAATCTAAAAGTTTCGTTCGGATTCCTGAGAGAGTCACTTGGGGGATTTACAAATGTTTTCTCTGCAATTTTCTAATGTGTGTATGGGCGGCGGTGGCGGAGTGTGAGTGTGTGTGTGTGTGTGTGTGTTTCTTTTCAATAAATAAGAAATAAAATAAAACTCTAATTAAATACCTGAATGCAGTAAACACAGAGGCTCCGTTTATATGCGACTATCGGAATAACAATTTCAAGGACGGGGCATGCCTATGACCTACCTTCCACATCAGAACGACTTTTACAGGGCAAAGGGAAATGGGGGGAGGGTAAGATGAGGGGTGACATGGCTCCAGGTTGCGGTGGCCTGTGGGGGCTGGGGTGTGTGAAAAGGGGCGATACAGCCGAGGCAGCGAGACCTGGGCGGAGAGGGAGGGGCGTTATTGGAAATTCAGATGCTGCAGGTCTATAGTGCACAGTGTGCTGGTAAAAAAGTCCAAGTCTTCCTCCGAGAAGTGGACCGGGCTCTGCAGGGAGCCCTGGAGGCTGGAATCCGACGCGAAGAGGCTCAGATCGGGCAGCAAAGGAGACTCCAGCCCCTCCGCCGAGGCGTTGTCCTCTCCGGCCGCCTGGTAGCCGGGGCTGGGCTGCGCAGCGCCGGGCGCGTCTTGGGCTTTGGTCTGGAACGGGCAGGAGGCCTCCTCCGCCTCGTCGCTGCATTCCTCCGGCTGGGGGTAGCCCAGGTCCCCGTCAGAGGGTTCGTGGTGCTGGGTCTGCCTCTTGTGCTTCATGCGGCGGTTCTGGAACCACACTTTGCCCTGCCTCTCGGTCAGGTCCAGCAGGGCCGCGATTTCCACTCGCCGGGGGCGGCACAGGTATTTGTTGAAGTGGAACTCCTTCTCCAGCTCCAGGAGCTGCATTCCTCCGGCTGGGGGTAGCCCAGGTCCCCGTCAGAGGGTTCGTGGTGCTGGGTCTGCCTCTTGTGCTTCATGCGGCGGTTCTGGAACCACACTTTGCCCTGCCTCTCGGTCAGGTCCAGCAGGGCCGCGATTTCCACTCGCCGGGGGCGGCACAGGTATTTGTTGAAGTGGAACTCCTTCTCCAGCTCCAGGAGCTGGGTGTTGGTGTAGGCCGTGCGGAGCCGCCTGGAGCCGCCTGCGCCGCTCTCCGGGATCCCCTGGGGGTCTTCCG